AAAACACACGACATATGTCTTGTGGACATTAATCATTATATAATTATATAATGTATAATCATATTTTTTTAAATTAAATAATTGGATTATATCTTACATTGAATAAGAAGTTCAATTTCACTTTTTTGTTTGGTATGACCAATTGGATCATCAATAGATTAATAATAATACGAAATTATAAGTCAAATTGATATTCAATGAAGAACTAGAAGATTCTTCAATTCAATTCTATATGATGTTTGTTCTCTTCCATGAAATTTTTTCAATAATCATCACTAACTAAAATAGGGACTGAATTCTCAATATTTCTCAAAGTTAATTAGAATGATAAATAGGACCCATCATCCACTACATTGATCATCTAAATATTATTTGTATCTAATAGATTTTATACGTATACTTGATAATTGCATTGTGTTCGCAGTCTAAAGTTTGCGAAATTATTAACCAAATTTAAATTGTGAGCTTAATTTTCAGAGTATGCAATCAAGACAGTGTCTTGTTAATGCTAATGATTCTAAATCTTAACATTTTAATAAGTGTTAGTTACGATGTCGATAAATGGTTTAGCATAATTATTTGTTAAACTTCCTGAATTAATTAAAAACAAAGTTCTTCCCATTTCCTTGGAAATGCTATTACATATCATGCCAATATCATATTTCCTCCCGTTATAATTAGCTTATGATCAGAGTCTAATTCTTCATCAGCTTATTTGATAGTGCAATTAATCCACCACATTATAATGAGATGAAAAGTAAAGAATGCTAAAACAAAATGTGCAATTTTAACTCTTATCTCAAATGTTTGATATTTGATAACGCAATTTACTGATTGTCAATTTGATTAAACAATTCTCTCAGCATTAGAGGGAAAGAATTAAGAAACTGGAAATAATGTACAAATACATTATTATCTAAACCATCGTAAAAGATCACTCGAACCAAAAGTTCGAAAGATAATTTATTTAAATGCATTTACCGACCAAAGAGATTAATAATATCTCATGCACCATTTTAAATGCTCCAATACGAATTGATTTTCTAGGAGAACAATTTGATAGCATTATATTTAATATATTTATGGCACGCTTGAACTATGATGGTGTTCGATTCTAATACAAAAAATTCCAAATAAAAATGGAGCAATTAGCAAAGATGATCTCATTAAGGAAACATATACTTTTAATGAGTATTTAGAAATAATAAATTATAAAATTCTGGAAGAGGTTCAGATACCTGATATGTTAAAAATTGAGATATCTCAATAAGTTATGTCATTAAGGGAAAATAAATAAAATTGAAGAAGAAAAAAAGTTGTCGACAACAATTTTACATATGATATACTGCATCATATAGCGAGGAATCAAAATTAATGTGTTGAAATATATCGATGAAGTAATTATTGGCCAAATAAAACGGATACGATCATAAATTGAATTTATTAGAGAAACTTGAAGTTTCTGACTCTACAATCCGAACATTAAAAGGTGTATATTTATGCGAAATGAAAATAGAAAAGATAAAGTCGTAATATGAAATGCACGATTCTTTATATAATAAATGTCGCGAAGACTTGTATAAATAGATAATTTATTATGTAGTAGATGTAATCACATGTTTCTACCTTGTTAGAGTGACAATACATGAAATTTGATATGCGTATAATGAATGTGATTATATTCAACTTATCTTACATATAAATTTAATATTATTCTTGAAGGATTTAATATACTTGAAGCATAATTCAAGTGATATTATCATGAAAAGAAGTAAATAGCTCTGTACTCTTTTTTTTCCCTTGACAAGGTTTTGTCCAATTGGGTTTTCCTAACAAGATTTTTAATGAGACAACTTTTATAGCATATTCAAAAGAATAATATATATTTTTTCTTTCATTAGGATCTTTTCCACAAGGTTTTCCATAAGAAGGCTTTAATGAAGCATATTCTTTGGGCAACGATGTCCTTAACTTACAAGGTATTTACTCTCAAAAGGCATTCTTATACGCATGAGACCCTCGAAGATATCAATAAGAGTTATTTTTAAATCGTCATGTTACTACAATTATCAAAGGTTAATAAAATATCTCTTATGAAGACCGTGTTATTTGAAGACTATTCAAGACAACATGAGACATACTTCACCGAAAATTGTAATATTGAAGATATTGATGTACGAGATATTGATAGCTTGATACAAGAATTGAAATCAGGGGGAGTAACTGTACTCTTTTTCCTTCGACCAAGTTTTTGTCCCACTGAGTTTTCTTGACATGATTTTAACAAAGCAGCATTTTATTCTTTTTTCAATTGTTAGTAGTTTTGTTTCATCGGGGTTTGCCAAAAAAGGTTTAAACGAGATAATAATTGTACAAATAATCATCAAAGGGGGGTGTTGTAAAATATTGAGACAATTATTAATAATTATTTAGTATTATCATGATTTATAGATAAGTCTTATTTAGTCTAGAGGTTCCATTTCATTCTACTTGTAACTCTTATTTTGGATCCTATAAATATGGGTCATGATTCTCAATAAAAGATACACTTGAGTTTCAATTCTTATATTCTCTTATCTTTTTCTCTATTTTCATAACATAAATATGTTTGATAAGTTAAGAACAAAAGGTCATTTTCTAATAACCAAATTCTCGGATCATCATGTCAGTGTAGTTTCAGTCTCTTCTTCCCTTTTCTCTATCACAGTTAAAATCTATACATTCGTAGGACATGGGTTAATTTTTTGCTATTTTTTAGTAGGCGCTTTTTCTTTTTCTTTCTTTCTTCTTCTTCTTCTTTATTTTATTTTATTTATTTATTTATTTATTTTTTTGCGTTATAATTGTGTTGCACATGTAGAATGAGCATGGAAGAAGGAAGTGAAATCGAGATTAAGTATTGTATAAAAATGAGTAACAATTTAAATATGAATCTGCTTTAAAATAATCTTATTTTGCATAATTTAGTTCTTTATTGTAGAAATATTTTCAAATTTATTTTTCTACAAACTTATTTTCAACCATACATTCATACAATGAAATATTTTACAGGCATACCCAAAACTTTTCTCTACTTTTTAATCACAAACTCTCCTAAAAATCAATATTTAAAACATTGTTTTACCTGAACAATGGTTGTCAAACAAGGACAATATACTATATTATCTTTTTTAGACTACTGCTAGTTTCTAATTGAAATGTTTTAGGATTTTGGTGCTCTAATAATAATACTTAGGATGTCAGTTACTCAACATTTACAAAATTCTTTATGGCAAATTGATGGCATGGTAATAAAAAAACGAAGGACAATTAGATGTGAATATCACTATATCAATCATTATAATGAATATCAGAACTGGTACTCTACGATTTGATGAAATTTCGGGATTCTTTTGTAGCTCATGTTGATATTTCTATTTGCATTTTTACCTTCCTATTCTGATTTTTCTCACGATTTCAAAGAATTTTGCTCCTCTTCATGTGCTTTTGGCAGAATCACAATTTTTTGCTCTAAGGAGGAATTTAAGGGATATCTAAAGCTTTCAAGCAATGCGATGAACATGGTTAGAGTAGCATTAATTCAATGGTTTTATCAATTATCAGTATTGTATTTGAACCAAAATCTTTCCATTTTCATATCAAATTCTCCATTGATTTTTTGGCACTTGGCTCACAATTTCCATAGACAATTTCTTTGTTCTCAGTTTTGATAGTCTTTCCGAATGAAAAACTCCTCCTCTTTTTAGGGTCCATCCTGAAATCACACCCTAATAAATAGCTAGATACATGAAAGCTCTAGTCCGAATGTCTAAATAGTTCAAATTCTTGTTTATTTCATTCATTTGGTATTTTTGATAGGACCATGCCATATAAACATAATTGTTGATATGCGAGATGACCGAACACTCACACCTCGGGGTCGAACATTATTTTATTCACGCGGAGTCCACGCTCCATGTGAGTCGGTCACCCATTCAGTCACTTTGGCATTTTCCTTTTTGATAAGACGATGATTGCCTATCAACAAATATAGAGTTGATAGATGAATAAGTGAATAGTTCTTGCAAATCCCACTTAATACGAAATATCTAAATAAGAATTGATTTGACCGATTGTAACCGATAGCCAAACACGGCTAGCACGATTAGCTTAACTTATTGATAAAAAATAAATTACGGAATATGTAAATAAGAAGTAATTTGACCGATTGTAACCAGTAGCCAAACAAAGGCTAGCACGATTAGCTTAGAATAAACCAATCATGCCCGAGTGTATTATTTGCACTTTCGTGCCGAATACTTTTTCACCTAACTTTTAGTAGTGAAAGTAAAAGTATATATTCCTTGTTATTAAGAATAAATTTCATTGTGTGGATATGCATTAGATTCGAACGTTAGACACTGAGTTGTGAACATGTGATAATCGAATTATTAATAGATAAATAATGGTATGAGTTGATAGCACATTTAGCACTTGGATTCTGTATAAAAGGGGTAAATTTCATTAATTACAATTAAAGTTACTAAAATTTATTTTGTCTCAATTAAGTAACTAAATTTCAATTTAGTTTCTAGCCGTTGACATAATGGCATACAGTTTATCACTGCCCCAAGTTATAGAACTGTTGAAATCAAAACATCTCTTTAACATTTTTAATTTAACGACATTTTCATAACCCTCATTTTACCATTTTTGTTTCTAGGGTGCCATTCGGTATGGAAGATTAGTCATGGTATGGCTTCAACTAACCAATTTTTGTCAATTTGGACGACGATAGGTGATAGAATGTAACAAAGCAGTAAAATCTAAAACTAAATTGAAGTTCAATGACAAAGTTGAGAAGTTAATTCTTGATAATCGTCCGAGGCTGCACGTGACAAGACATGTTAAAAGAATAAATTTAACAAGTATTATCTACTTCTTCTTTAGCCTTTTAAATTTTTATACAAGTGATTCGAAAGTAATTACAGATATGCTTCCCCAATTTTCTGCAACTGCAATTCAATATAACCATTTGGTGTCATGTTTATAAAATCAAATTTTCTCAATTGAAGTTCTAAACATTTCTCTACAACTAAAGTAACAAAGATAAATTGCACAACCAAGCAAGAAAAGAAGTATCATTAGAAGCATTATAAAATCACATCAGCTTTGCAGGAAAAGAAAATTTCTAGCTATTTAATTCACAATTCTTTTTTTACTTGGTAACTTTTGCGAATTCGGTAACTAGGTAGGTAGATAATAATCGACCTTCTTTGACGGCTGGATTATCGTAGCATCGAGAGAGTTTAAGGGAGGAAGAATGGAGTTGGCTAGCTCTTCATTCAATCTAGGAAGTGGAGGCATCTTCTTCATTGTTGGAGTCATGTTGTCCAAGCTGCATATTTCATAATAAAAATATAGATATGAAGTTGATAATCGAAATAAAAGCACAATTTTAGAAAATAAGAATTCCGATGAATGGAAGCATTGAGTGATAATTTATCTCCCGAAAAGAAAGATTTATAAAAGAAAAGGTAAAAATACATGAAAACAGCATCAAGACCAGGTTTGCGACATACTTGTTCAAGATTCTGAAGAGGTTCTCTCGTGCTTTACTCAGTAGATGGAGGTTCTCATGTAACTGAAAAATAAAGGGTAGAGAGAGCATTAGTTTATGTATCTCATAAAGCTTATCTGGAGCAACAAGCTGAAATTAGATCCTTGTAATGATAATCGAAAATATATATCATGAAAGAAAAAGGATATAGTGGATGTTTAGACTAAACCTTAGCCCTTAACTCTGAAAAACAATAATAAACAAGAAAAGAAGTTACTATCGAACACATAGATTTATAGCGGTTCACCTTCAATTGTCCACTCGCCACTGTAGATTTTACAATATCTTCAAGAAGAAGATGATCTCCAATGGGAAATCTCACACCCCTCCGATTTTCAGAAGAACAACACTACCCCTCCCCTTCCATTTTTTAAGGTTGGATACTCGAGATCTTGTTGCAAACAGAGGGATACACAATATATCCCTATACTAAGAAAAACGTCAATCCGCAATCTATGGGATAGGAAAACAACATAATTAGGCTCTACACAGTTCAACACTCAGACAAATATCTAATACAATGGTTTATATCTTAGATATCTAGGAAGCAATGGCGAATCAGGTGAGAATGGGCGGATTTAGGGAGCGACCGCCAAATATAAGGGGAAAAAATTCCGGCAAAGCCAGCACGGGTAGCGGTAGGGGCTCATTCGGTATTGGCTCCGCCCCTGCTAGGAAGACCATATGACCTGAAAATATAGAATTGTTTTCTATTCTTGTTACCCCATGTAAATGTAAATCCCACTACTATGCACAAATCTGAACATTAATCTACAAATCTATTTTACACCCAAAGGCAGCCAAATCCCAACACAAGGAAACGAGCTAGCTAAGGTTTTTGAAGTCGGGAAAAAGTAATTAATATAAAATGAATATATAAATGCTTCACCTGATGAGTGTTCAAATTAGCAGATATCTGTTCGAAGGCCCAACTGTTCTGCTGAAGAAGCTCCCGAGTTACAGCATTGATGCCTACAAAGAGAGGAAGTCGGTTTTAAGCAAGCATAAATCAAATGATTTTTAAAAAATTGGGACGCCTATGATAGTATACTTTCTTAACTAGCATAACTACAGCAAAGATATCAATGGAAAATCTTGAAAGGCATATATATAAAGCATAAGATAGAGCATTTACAAACCGAGTTCACTCAGCAAGCATAAACGAGGACTAAATTGGTAAAACTTGGTTTAATTATATTCAAATAACAAACTATATAATAGACAAATCATGCCAATAATTGGAGAAAAACTGTCATCAATGCTTATCAGTGCCCATGTAAAAGAGTGTTATTGTATGACGTTCATAGTATGACTTTTTGCTCTTTCAATTTGATGTCATCAATAAAGTTTCTAAGACTCAATACCAGGGCCGCTGTATGCCCGATAAATGATAATCCAAGAAAATAAATCGCATTACCCAAAAATATCAAATCAACTATTTTTTACAGTAACTATAGCACACATGAAGGTAAAACTGAGAAAAAAAAAAAAAAAAAAAAAAAAAAACAAACTGATTCCTATAGGAGCTTCAGTGTTTAAATATTTGCAGAACTGACAGCTTATCAAGTACTTGTGCATGTAAAATTCTCGTAAATTCATGTTTTTAACTTTGTACAGATCACTGATATGTGCATATTAAACCATGCCAATCATATCAAATTTGTTTTAATGTGCCCCGCACAGCATTCAATTTTCTCCACCTCGAGACTGATATTTCTCTGTTCTATTTCTATTATATCCACCCCACAAATTCTAGGATCCTGTAAATTAAAAATCATCCAAAATTCTGAGAAGCATTTATCCTCAAATTAATTTTTATAGTTTCACAAAAACTAACACCATTTTCTTAATGCTTTCACACATTGTTTCCACTTACACCAATTGAAATTTCGTTAATTTATATTTAAATTAGCTAAATCCGCAATAAGGATGACGTTTAAGTAACACTCTTATGAGTTTCGTATGTTACGGACTTTATACATAATGAAGTACAATGAAAGTCATGTTGCTTGAGAGTTCCACAAACTCTTTCCACATCCGTTGAATGGACCAAACTAACCATATAGAAGAAAGACCAACTAAAAGGTGTTACGAGTATCTCACATCATGTGTTAATGTGAAGCAACTATATCTAAACTAATTTCTAGTATATTAAAAAGAACTTAAGCTGATAGAAATAAGAGGTACTGTTCAATTAGTAATGTACACACAAAATACTCCAACATTGAAAGAATAATATCTCGCTGCTAATTTCTCCTGTATAACAAGTGTGCAAAACAGCTCAAGATACTCAAATTATATAATGAAGGAAATAAATCGGAATTCAACAAGAAGAAAGGAAATTACGTGCAAGCATGGATGTTTACACATAAAAATTAGTTCATCAAGAAATTTGATTACTGCCATTCAGATAATATTATATATATATATATATATATAGATTATTGACCAAATAAAAAAACTAGATGTATCAAAAGATTTGTCCCAACCATTATATAAGATGCTATCACCATTGTTATTGTTAATCATTCCTGAAGCATGAAGTAAACTCGGCCGGGCCCCCAAACGAGAGGGCTTTGCTAGAGGATCGACAAACTTTTCCTGAGAAAAGAATTTAACATTCCCTTAGCTTGGAGTCAACATAAGTATATGTTTGATATACAGCATTGAAGTATTGAACATTACTTACTTGTATGATGAATAAGATTTGAATTAGTAGATTTTCAAGAATCAACAATCAGAATGAAACACGTTATTCAATTCCTTTACAGTCAACTATTCAAAAGTCTACCTACAAACAAAGCTTTATGCTGTTTCCTCTAAAAAATAAGTGGCTTTTCCTGCTTGAATTGGAAGTAAGGGCACTTCTATCCAACTGTTTTTAAATATGCATGAATATTACTTAATTCGAGTCTGCCTGTAATAACAATTGGTTTAAATATGTTTGTTAGTATTGACTCATAGAGACCTTGAGTTTTAGCTTTCAAAACAAAATAAATTTGAGCCCACATCTCTTGCCATTAAGACAAGCATCTTACTGTTTAGACATATTTACATTCATCTTCTTTTTATGAATTGTTGTTCAATAGCTTTTCTATTTATCTTTTCCATTAAAAATGATATTCTTTAGAATATGGATGGAGATTGAGATTTGATTTTGATTCTTCATCTAAATCCCAAAAATTCAACTTATAACTTACAGATTATTATTCTTTAAGTTACTTTACAGAATATCAAGTGTTTTTGGATACAAATCTTTGTTCATAATGAAATGTGCACAAAAACTACACTCACACAGCACAACCATCCACACAAAAGACAGAAAATGTAAGTGTATTAATACTAGAATTGAAACATAAGATAGAATAATTTCATAACTATTTACCTTTTTATCTTTACTTTTCCTTGAGGCATTAAGATCCTCCTTCCTTCTCTTGCTAGTTTCTTTCTTCTGCAGTTAATCGCATAAAATAATTAAACCGCTAACCTTATTGTGTCGATGGATAAACAGAGTATCAAAATGAAAACATCAAATGACGAAACCCCCCCATATCTCCGCATCACACGTAAGCTTAGCTCAACCGTGCAGAAATTAAATAGTGTAACAAATGCATGGTTGTGCTGCTTTTAGCAGACAAATAATGCAAATGTAGTTGAATACAGATTGAATGAATCAAGACAATTTAACATAGCGGATAATGATGAGGAAACTCACAGTCATCCATCGGTAGCGCAATGCCACATCACGAACTGTCTTATTTTTCAGCTGCACTGCAATCTTTGCATAGCGGATAATGCTCGACTCAGAAGCATATCTGAAGTGTGTTACAAAAGTTACAGTATAAACCCATCTTATGCTTACCGTAAATAAAACCCAACATTAGCATTATGCAAAATGAAACATAGCAAAGAGGTCATCAATGTTAAGTTATTACTAGGAAGACATTAGGATCATGTTGACACGAAAACTCCAGATGGGTTGTGAGTTTGACAAGGTCATTTTCAAGGAACTTGATTAACTAAATATGCCTCAGCACTATGTCATAACCATCTAAACTGGCACAGGTCCTACCAGACATTCAAAAGAAACTTTATTGTCTAGTTTAGACCAAGAAAATTGACTACCTACGCAAACTTCGTATACTATCTATATATGTAAACTTCTACCTTAAATTAAGTCGGGATTCGAGATTGACTAGAAACTTTGCCGACTTTTATAGAGCAAAATTCTCCAATCATCTCCATTATTCATTTTTTCTCTTTTGACCAAACAGAACACAACTATCCACGACAAAGATGTGTAACACAACAAAGGAATCTGTCTGTGTCTCTCTCACCAAAGTGAAAATAATATATTCATAATAACACACATCTGATATGTAAATATACAGAAAAGAGCTAAAGAAAAATTTATCTAAAGGCACCAACCCCCATCCACAGAGGCCTCTCCACCCCCTTACACTTGATACACGAAGTTTCATGATATAATTTCAGCTAAAGATCCATCCCACATTAAAAGAAAATCCTACCAGATACTCAACGTTCATAAGTTAACCGTGCAGGACTAGTGCACATTACGTGTCTGATAACTGATGTCAATGATAATAGATAAAAAGATAAAAGATAAAAAAAGAAGCAGCAGTAAATAAAGATCAAAAAGCATAATAAATATTGGCCAAATGCTTAAATATCTCATGACCTCTAATGCTAATGCACTCTGCTTGCAAGTCGATGTGTGACAACTGACTGCAAGTGTGCAAATGACAACAGCTATGAGAGGATAGGTCCGTAATTACTAGACAGCTAAATATAAATGAAGCTAATATTGTATATCCGAGTTTCACAGATTCCCTTATCAATATAATTGGATATCATGTCTCTCTCACACACCGAAGGCAGTGACTCTCCAGTCGTCCCTTCTTCTGAAGGCGATTTCAAAATATCCGCAGGTAAAAAAATCTTTATGATTTAGAAATTTGTTGATAAACCAATCATCATTAACAGAAAATCCTACCAGATATATGTGCAAAGTTCATTGATTAACCGTGCAAGACTAGTGCAAATCGCGTGCCTGATAAATGAAGCTGACGTCAATAATTAAAGCTAAAAGAAGCAAAGAAAGATTTGCAGCGTAATCACGACTAAAATACTCATGATCTTTAATGCCAAAGCACTCTGCCTGTAAGCCGACGTGTGGCAAATGACTGCAGGAGTACAGATCACAACAGATATGAGAAAATAAGTCCTTAATTATACTAAACAGCTAAGAACGAGTGAAGCCAAGATTTTATATCCCGAGTTTCATAAATTCCCTTATCCACCATAATTCGACATCTCTTCTCCGAATCCAACCACGACCTTCCTTCTTTTCTAAAAGGAAAAAAGAGAGAGAAAAGGAAAAACCAGGAATGAGGACAAATAAATCTCAGGCACTTGAATTTATATACAAACTAATTAATGAATTTCTTCATATAAACATAGTTGGCTGGTTTATCTTTAATCTATGCGATTACAAAATACAAATTTTCACTTCAAAATGGATTATTACATGATAAAAAGCCAATTAAAGTAGTATAAATCACTGTAACCAAGAAAATGACACAAAATTCCACAAGAAGAAACTACAAATGCAAAAACCACTCAGACAAAGGGGCTGGTGACTCAGAAGACAACAAAAATTTTAAAATTCAAAAAAGCAAACTCAAAATTAAGGTAAAATAAAACTTGAACTAAGCACATGATTCAAAATAAACAAACCAATACAGATATGTATGTCTGTTTGTGTGCATGCGTTCATGAGCAAGAACCCACAAAGAAAAGTCTAAACAACATGGATTTATCGAATATAGATTACATTTTCCAATTCTTAAATTTCTTGACAAGAATTAACACAACCAAAGAGAATTAAGCGATGCAAAATTAACTGATAGTTAAAAGCACTATAACCATCTAGAAATCACAGAATCCCACAAGATTCTCATTTCCCAAAAGTAATCTTCATAGAAAATAGAGAAAATTCTTACAAACAAACTGACAAACACGCATACACATGTATCTATGTATGTGTGTGTCTATACATATGAAATCCACTTACTTGGCAAGACCTTCTTCCAAGATAGCTTGTTCTTCTGGTGTCCAGTCCATAGAGATTGTCTGTTGGTGCTGAAACGTGGGGATGGCACTCTCCATTCCATGCACAGAATTTCCATTGTATGAAGTTGAACCATGGCTCTGCTGAGATCCATCTTTGTGCGTTCCACTCATGTGAGCCATAAAACACGCACATGCACAAACAAATATATATTTATATATGGGAAAGCGAGCCTGTAAGTTTAGGATTTCAAGAAAGGGAAAAAAAATACAAGAAAATTGAGACCCTTTGCAGAGAAACCGAGGTTCAAGGGATTGGGATGATAGTTAAACTCAAAGATTCTTTAAGCTGAGATTGAGGGGTTGAAGAGGGGAAAGTAAGGGGAATCTCAAATGCACGTAGGAAGGGAAAGAAAGGGTGACCGTGTAGTGTGTACAAATGTAAGCAAACTTTTGGGGTGCCAATATATATATATATATATGGCATCAAGAAAACTTCATTAAGACGCTCCTACGTGTAAATTTAGTCGAGCTAGTAATTTAAATATCACTAATTAAAATTTCGAACCTGTTGATAAACCAATCATCATTAACAGAAAATCCTACCAGATATATGTGCAAAGTTCATTGATTAACCGTGCAAGACTAGTGCAAATCGCGTGCCTGATAAATGAAGCTGACGTCAATAATTAAAGCTAAAAGAAGCAAAGAAAGATTTGCAGCGTAATCACGACTAAAATACTCATGATCTTTAATGCCAAAGCACTCTGCCTGTAAGCCGACGTGTGGCAAATGACTGCAGGAGTACAGATCACAACAGATATGAGAAAATAAGTCCTTAATTATACTAAACAGCTAAGAACGAGTGAAGCCAAGATTTTATATCCCGAGTTTCATAAATTCCCTTATCCACCATAATTCGACATCTCTTCTCCGAATCCAACCACGACCTTCCTTCTTTTCTAAAAGGAAAAAAGAGAGAGAAAAGGAAAAACCAGGAATGAGGACAAATAAATCTCAGGCACTTGAATTTATATACAAACTAATTAATGAATTTCTTCATATAAACATAGTTGGCTGGTTTATCTTTAATCTATGCGATTACAAAATACAAATTTTCACTTCAAAATGGATTATTACATGATAAAAAGCCAATTAAAGTAGTATAAATCACTGTAACCAAGAAAATGACACAAAATTCCACAAGAAGAAACTACAAATGCAAAAACCACTCAGACAAAGGGGCTGGTGACTCAGAAGACAACAAAAATTTTAAAATTCAAAAAAGCAAACTCAAAATTAAGGTAAAATAAAACTTGAACTAAGCACATGATTCAAAATAAACAAACCAATACAGATATGTATGTCTGTTTGTGTGCATGCGTTCATGAGCAAGAACCCACAAAGAAAAGTCTAAACAACATGGATTTATCGAATATAGATTACATTTTCCAATTCTTAAATTTCTTGACAAGAATTAACACAACCAAAGAGAATTAAGCGATGCAAAATTAACTGATAGTTAAAAGCACTATAACCATCTAGAAATCACAGAATCCCACAAGATTCTCATTTCCCAAAAGTAATCTTCATAGAAAATAGAGAAAATTCTTACAAACAAACTGACAAACACGCATACACATGTATCTATGTATGTGTGTGTCTATACATATGAAATCCACTTACTTGGCAAGACCTTCTTCCAAGATAGCTTGTTCTTCTGGTGTCCAGTCCATAGAGATTGTCTGTTGGTGCTGAAACGTGGGGATGGCACTCTCCATTCCATGCACAGAATTTCCATTGTATGAAGTTGAACCATGGCTCTGCTGAGATCCATCTTTGTGCGTTCCACTCATGTGAGCCATAAAACACGCACATGCACAAACAAATATATATTTATATATGGGAAAGCGAGCCTGTAAGTTTAGGATTTCAAGAAAGGGAAAAAAAATACAAGAAAATTGAGACCCTTTGCAGAGAAACCGAGGTTCAAGGGATTGGGATGATAGTTAAACTCAAAGATTCTTTAAGCTGAGATTGAGGGGTTGAAGAGGGGAAAGTAAGGGGAATCTCAAATGCACGTAGGAAGGGAAAGAAAGGGTGACCGTGTAGTGTGTACAAATGTAAGCAAACTTTTGGGGTGCCAATATATATATATATATATGGCATCAAGAAAACTTCATTAAGACGCTCCTACGTGTAAATTTAGTCGAGCTAGTAATTTAAATATCACTAATTAAAATTTCGAACCACACAAATTACAACAAATTAAATATTGAGTGAGTTAGCACACCCATTGTTTCTCTCTTACCGTCCGATATTTGAGGTGTCATGATTTGAGTGATTCATGCACGTTGTAAAATTATCTATTTAAATCATGATTACTAAATCTCGGATCACCGAAATCACGATACCTCAAATGTAGATTAGGTTAGTCAATTGATTTTTGAGTGTCAACGTGTGAGTACATAGGATGGTCGCAACGCGAGAATTTATTACATGGAATTCTTTCTTTTTCTTTCCAAATGGAATTTAACAGAGAATAGACTGTTTCGTTATTGGGTTTTGTGAGGAAAGAGGAAAATAGTTTCTTTTGTTTAAAGAGAAAGTGGATGCTGACGCATTGACAGCATCTCGCCCTCTTCTCCTTTTGAAAAGAGGATTTGGAGCTTCCTTTTTATTTGTCTTGCCTGATTTATTTATTGGATGGGGGAAAGGTTTTTTTACTTTAAAGTGTGCTCCAATGACCTTTTTAATTTTGTGGTCGATTTTAATAACAATTTGTTTTCCATCTTTAATATTGAGAACTCGACATTGAGTGGAATTTCTTTTCTTGGACTCATTGAGATCTGAACTTTATATTTTAGTCAAATAAAAGTAAATTTGAAATTTATTAAGCACTCTACAAGACAGGTGTTGAGAAAAGTTTGACCATCGAAAGTACATGGATTGGTCCGTCTATGTATATGGGAAAGCGAGCCTGTAAGTTTAGGATTTCAAGAAAGGGAAAAAAAATACAAGAAAATTGAGACCCTTTGCAGAGAAACCGAGGTTCAAGGGATTGGGATGATAGTTAAACTCAAAGATTCTTTAAGCTGAGATTGAGGGGTTGAAGAGGGGAAAGTAAGGGGAATCTCAAATGCACGTAGGAAGGGAAAGAAAGGGTGACCGTGTAGTGTGTACAAATGTAAGCAAACTTTTGGGGTGCCAATATATATATATATATGGTATCAAGAAAACTTCATTAAGACGCTCCTACGTGTAAATTTAGTCGAGCTAGTAATTTAAATATCACTAATTAAAATTTCGAACCACACAAATTACAACAAATTAAATATTGAGTGAGTTAGCACACTCATTGTTTCTCTCTTACCGTTCGATATTTGAGGTGTCATGATTTGAGTGGTTCATGCACGTTGTAAAATTATCTATTTAAATCATGATTACTAAATCTCGGATCACCGAAATCACGATACCTCAAATGTAGATTAGGTTAGTCAATTGATTTTTGAGTGTCAACGTGTGAGTACATAGGATGGTCGCAACGCGAGAATTTATTACATGGAATTCTTTCTTTTTCTTTCCAAATGGAATTTAACAGAGAATAGACTGTTTCGTTATTGGGTTTTGTGAGGAAAGAGGAAAATAGTTTCTTTTGTTTAAAGAGAAAGTGGATGCTGACGCATTGACAGCATCTCGCCCTCTTCTCCTTTTGAAAAGAGGATTTGGAGCTTCCTTTTTATTTGTCTTGCCTGATTTATTTATTGGATGGGGGAAAGGTTTTTTTACTTTAAAGTGTGCTCCAATGACCTTTTTAATTTTGTGGTCGATTTTAATAACAATTTGTTTTCCATCTTTAATATTGAGAACTCGACATTGAGTGGAATTTCTTTTCTTGGACTCATTGAGATCTGAACTTTATATTTTAGTCAAATAAAAGTAAATTTGAAATTTATTAAGCACTCTACAAGACAGATGTTGAGGAAAGTTTGACTATCGAAAGTACATGGATTGGTCCGTCTATGTACTAGACTTATGTTTTATACGAAGAAGTTTTAACAAAGTCAAAGCAAAATATTTAGACAATTACTTGCACGAAATGAATAAATTCAAAATTGGGAGTCCTATGAATGTTAGATAATTGTTTTTCCAAGATTAGTAGGAGTGTGCCACTCTTGGAGAAAGTAACTTGCAGCGTCTCAAAATTTCAAGTAGCACAAGTTTACTTGTGTATGAATTCTGTGAACTTAATTCTAAAGTATGTTTTTTGTCAACTAAAATAAAAAAAATACTTAGTTTTAATTTATTTTTTTATCCCTTTTTAAGTGATTCGTAATTGCTAGATTAGATGTCTAGCATCTTTAAAAAATCGAACTACAATAAACTTACAAGGGTCATAGGTTGGATCAATAATTCAATTTTCCCTTCTTAGATTTTATTTTCATATTTTATATGTTAGTGACCACTTTTCACAAATAAACAAGATTTTGATGTTTAATTTCCTTTAGTGAAAATGGGTTATTATTAAAAAATCATGATGTAATTTGACAGATATTTATCCCACCAAAAACGTGTTCAGTAACAACAATATACTACAATCAACCAAAATCTAACATTTCTTCCTCTTAATATTGTCTAGTCACATCAGTTGAGTTGAATAACATTTTATCTCGAGAGCATACACAATGGAAGAATGCATCAACATACGTCCATAATCACCCGTACAACTTCAACAACACCAATATACCATATCCCAACACGAAAAAAATTGTAATTTGGCAATTTAATTTGCAAATGTTTGTCGACAACAAGCAAATGTGAATTACAATAGGGTACAAGCTCATCAAAGGATGCTAATTCAACGTTAACATATGAATCTGTTCTTGGAGTTTACCAGCATATCCTTTTTTAATTATAATAGAAACCAGTTAGTCCATATTTGGTATATGATACTCGACAAAATAAAAATAAAAATAATAAAATAATAAGATAAATTTGTGACTTATATTTCTTCATAGCAGTATTCTAAAAAACTTGCCTAGGCTCGAAGCTTAGGCAAAACACCCCACTTCGCTCCAAAACATTTTTTTTCAATCCCTAAATGACTAAATTTTTTCCTTTCATTCGTCTTCTTTAGGCTCGCTTTATTATTATTTTTTTATTTTTCTCATTTATTTAAAAGCCTTTTATTAGGCTCGCTTTATTATTATTTTTTTATTTTTCCCATTTATTTAAAAGCCTTTTATTTGACTTTAGTTTATTAATTTTTTTTTATTTTTTAAAAAACTTTTCATGACTTTAACTTCAAGTTTTTAAGACTTTATCTGTACAAAAAATAAAAATAGCTTTATTTGACAAAATCTTAAATAAAATTTAAGCTACAGCATTATCTACATTATATGTAATTATGATCTTGAAACTCATTATTTTGTTGAAAATTTTGAAATCATATATAAAGTTCTTATAAATCTATTAAGTAAAACTTGTCAAGTTGAAAATTAAAACTATAAAAAATGTCTAATTTTTACATTTCGAAAACTTGAAGATTGACTAATTGTAGGAATTATTAAATAAATATAGTATTTTATAACTTTAGATATTTAATATGTATTATTTTAAATATTAAATGACTTTTAAAATGATTAAAAATTTAAAATAATATTAAAAATAAGATCTCGCCTAAGCTGGTAAAGTTTGAAGTTTCGTCTCCACGCCTACTCACACTTTACGCTTTTTAGAATACTGCTTCATAATACTATCAAATTCTCACCCTTCAAAAAAATTCCATTTCTAAAACAAGATTAGTCCCACCTTTAAATACGATGATCATTTAGGCCAATAAAGGGCGAGTGCAATATGGACAGAAGGATAGAAGTTGCTAATATCACCATTGAACAAAAGTGCACATAATTATCTACTATGACTCGCTAAAATTTTCGCAAAAATCTCGTTCGTAATATAGTTTTATTACTGTATTATAACTTCTAATATTTTCAAAATTTTTGATACATAAATAACACTCCAAAACATGAAACTCACGAAATCTTCTGTACTATCCTAACCTGTATGTAGTGTTCTTGAGCATATTATGCAAGGTAAAGCAAACTTTCCACTGCAGTCCTGAGGAGAAAAGGGCAAAGCATAAATCGCATAAATTTGTAATGTATCCCAACTAAGAATAATGCTAATGGATCATCATGTAGGTTCCATATCCTAGAATTTAACTGGACATATCATTTAATGTCACTATGTTGTCACATAGGTTGATGGCAAATAGCATTATCCATTAACGAAAACTTAAATAACGGACATTAAAAAACATTGGCACGAGAAACATATAATGAGTAGTCCGTTGTGATAGCATTCCTCGAAACAACAAATTATATACCCAAATTAAGCTCCAATCATCAAGTAGCGTAATTGAACATGCCAACGATTAACTAAACCCGTCACTTGTTTCTAAAACTTTCACATGAAGATCTGGCCAAATCTATGCCTAATACTCCATCCTTGAAAGGATTCTATTTCACAATAATGAAAAATTGGTGGAGAAGAAATTAACACATTTGAACGCATACATACAAGAAATGACCCATTACAAAATTAGTGAATAATCACGAAGATATTACTCAACATCCAAACCTTCGAGTAGTAAGCACTTCAGAAACTTCATATGTATCGTTATGCAAGCAAGTTCATGAAGATAATTAATATGGCTATTTTCTCCAAACTAATTAATGAATTTCTTCATATAAACATAGTTGGCTGGTTTATCTTTAATCTATGCGATTACAAAATACAAATTTTCACTTCAAAATGGATTATTACATGATAAAAAGCCAATTAAAGTAGTATAAATCACTGTAACCAAGAAAATGACACAAAATTCCACAAGAAGAAACTACAAATGCAAAAACCACTCAGACAAAGGGGCTGGTGACTCAGAAGACAACAAAAATTTTAAAATTCAAAAAAGCAAACTCAAAATTAAGGTAAAATAAAACTTGAACTAAGCACATGATTCAAAATAAACAAACCAATACAGATATGTATGTCTGTTTGTGTGCATGCGTTCATGAGCAAGAACCCACAAAGAAAAGTCTAAACAACATGGATTTATCGAATATAGATTACATTTTCCAATTCTTAAATTTCTTGACAAGAATTAACACAACCAAAGAGAATTAAGCGATGCAAAATTAACTGATAGTTAAAAGCACTATAACCATCTAGAAATCACAGAATCCCACAAGATTCTCATTTCCCAAAAGTAATCTTCATAGAAAATAGAGAAAATTCTTACAAACAAACTGACAAACACGCATACACATGTATCTATGTATGTGTGTGTCTATACATATGAAATCCACTTACTTGGCAAGACCTTCTTCCAAGATAGCTTGTTCTTCTGGTGTCCAGTCCATAGAGATTGTCTGTTGGTGCTGAAACGTGGGGATGGCACTCTCCATTCCATGCACAGAATTTCCATTGTATGAAGTTGAACCATGGCTCTGCTGAGATCCATCTTTGTGCGTTCCACTCATGTGAGCCATAAAACACGCACATGCACAAACAAATATATATTTATATATGGGAAAGCGAGCCTGTAAGTTTAGGATTTCAAGAAAGGGAAAAAAAATACAAGAAAATTGAGACCCTTTGCAGAGAAACCGAGGTTCAAGGGATTGGGATGATAGTTAAACTCAAAGATTCTTTAAGCTGAGATTGAGGGGTTGAAGAGGGGAAAGTAAGGGGAATCTCAAATGCACGTAGGAAGGGAAAGAAAGGGTGACCGTGTAGTGTGTACAAATGTAAGCAAACTTTTGGGGTGCCAATATATATATATATATATGGCATCAAGAAAACTTCATTAAGACGCTCCTACGTGTAAATTTAGTCGAGCTAGTAATTTAAATATCACTAATTAAAATTTCGAACCACACAAATTACAACAAATTAAATATTGAGTGAGTTAGCACACCCATTGTTTCTCTCTTACCGTCCGATATTTGAGGTGTCATGATTTGAGTGATTCATGCACGTTGTAAAATTATCTATTTAAATCATGATTACTAAATCTCGGATCACCGAAATCACGATACCTCAAATGTAGATTAGGTTAGTCAATTGATTTTTGAGTGTCAACGTGTGAGTACATAGGATGGTCGCAACGCGAGAATTT